CCGCCGAATCCGGATCCTCACTTGACCCTCCTCCATCGCCATCAAACCTCGTGATCCGCAGTCTCTAGAAGCTCTTCAGTACATATATAATCGGGATCCGGCGCGATCTTGATACTTCACTGCGGATCCGGCTCCGCGTACCCGGAAAGTTTGCATAAACTTCCCCACCCGCGGATCCGCGCCTTCCCATTCCGGATCATCGGTGGCACCTTCATGTCTACACCTCCCAGATACATATCTCCATATATCCAGGGCCAGCACTAGTCATCAATCCTCATGAAGGATCCTGATCATCCCGATCCGGATATGTGGTCATTGTTCCGGATAATGCCCTTGTTGCCTTTCCGTCAATCAATCAATCTTATTCATGTGGAATTTCCGATCCACTTTACCACAATCGTCTCTTGTACGCTGTTATTGCTGCACAACATTATCACGGCCGACATCTCGCCATTTTTTCAACCGCGGATTTCCTCATCTCATTTCGCTCCATATCCCAATCCGCCCAAGACACTCCATCTGGGTCGCAGCGCGACGATCCGTCCCCGTTACCTTACGCCGAGGATGACACGCTGGAGGATCTGCAACGGATCTCGGTTGAACTCTTCAGGCTCAATGGCGAACTCCAAGTTCGGTGGTTAGCAGCTGGTACTGCTATGGACGCTGACGAAGATCTCGTTGCTGCCGAGAGTCTCCGTGCTCTGCAGGATTACTTCTATGAACAAGACGCGGTGATTGCCTTCATACAGCAGGAGATCCAACACGCCCGTCAGGATCGCGACTTCGCGATGGGCACTTTGGGCCGCAGCGACCGCGATCTGCCAGAAGGCCAAAGCTGCCGAATCCATAATTTGGAGTCGCAAGTCGCGGATCTCGAAGACCGAGTTGCTCCTTTGGTCGACCAATGTGATCGGTTGACACGTTAACGCAATGATCTGCTCCGTGAACGCGATGATCCATCTACCCAACGCGATGGTCTGGAGGTGGACGTTCAACAACTGAGTGAAGAAGTCGTGGATCTCCATGACGAACATCAACACGGCGCAATATCTCGTCTCGAGGTTGAAGATCGCCGAGGAGGTTTTGAGACTCCCACGAGCCGAGATCACGCGGTTGGATACGGATCTTGCCTGATCCGGCGATGGCGGGAGCGTACGATCACGGAGAGTACGGCACGGATCCAGGCTCTCTCTACGAACATTGACATTCTCACTGTGGATCGGACTGATCTACGGCAGGAGCGTCGTCGGACTCTACGTATACTTGGTCAGATCGCCGATGCCATGGGATCTTCGCCACCAACTACCTCGCTGAGTCTTGGATCTGAGTCAGATCGAGATCCTCCTAGTGAGAATGAAGGGGGTACGTCACCCAAGGATTCTGACTCCGATTCTCTACATATGGATTACCATTTACCAGCTGGCTCGAAGTCACCTGAAGGTAGTAAAGGTCCGCCCACTGATGGATCTGACTCCCATTCGAAAAAGAGTGCCAAGCGTTCGCGTAGACCGTCCTCCTCCTCCAGCCCCAGTCGGCCATCCAAGCATAAATTGCGACCGCTAGATGACGAAGATGACGAGGTTCTGGCTGAAGAACCCGCAGACATCGACATGGGTGGAGGGTCTCCGCCAGAACATGACCTAGGCGATGATGCGACTGGCGACAAGAACCACAAGAAGGGGCCGGATCCAGAGGACTCGTCTTCTTCGTTTGACCCGCTAAGTGGTGCTCATAAACTCGGTAGATCCGGTAACTCGAGCAGTGATAACACACCGCTGAAACGTAAGCCCGAAGGGCCCACACCGAATCATCAGGATGACGCCTCTCAACCGCAGGTCTTGGATTTCACTGGTGGTGACAAAGAGACCAAGGATCACACTGCAGACGACGATTAAGATCACGCCGACACGACGGATCCAGATTGTTCTGCTCCATCCCTAATCACGAGACCGAGGAGGTCGAGAATTACATGTTTGAAGAGGACACCCTTCGGGCCATTGCCAAACAAGATCCGCGCAACGTTGGCATGACCACGCATCCTCGCGCTGTGCCGGTGGTGGTGGAGGAGATGATCTGAGCGATGACGGATCTGCCGACGATGATGATGATGTTCCAGATCCTCCTGTCGATCGACCTGCTGATAGTCATCCGCCCCCTAATCCAGTTATGTTACCCCAAGATCCTCTCGCCGATAATCTCTGCATTCCAGGGCGCACCCAGATCCGTGTGTTTTCGGCTGCCGATACTGATCCGTGGGTGTTGGATGATCTAAGTCGATGGGCGATCATGACAATCACGGTAGATCTTCTTGCGACTGTGCTGCCTTTTCAACCCGAGTGGATCTACCCTCACCACACACCACGATCTCGATCTCTCTCCGATGCCGATTACTGCGCTCACCTGACCACCACAACCAACATCTAGGCTCTCAACGATGAGTCTCCCTGGGATATCCTCGGTGGGGATAATGTACCAGACCCGATTTGCTTCGAGATCCTAGTGGGTGGCCGACTTGGCGTCTTCCTGGAGGAGTATTCGCCGTTCGAGATCCGAGACATCATCACGTACTGGGGATCTATCCACAAGCTCCCGATCACTAAGTGCATGTGTGCAGATTCTCCATGCCTGGCTGCCCTATTTGAACGTACATTTTGAGTGCCCTTGTGGCGGTCTGCACCATCCTTTCCGCGGATCCGTTCGCCTGAGGTCTATATACCATTGTTGCACGTTGACGCTGATCCGAGATTTTATTCAATGCGCGAACGAAATCGGACACAAACCCCAGGTTCACGATCATGGCGGATCACCTCGCTGGCGCCAAATCGGCGGAACACACATTCCTCATAGGGTTCTGCCACGGTCTGAGCCGTCCTGGGTCCGCTCGTCTTGGCGATCACATAACCAGAGAGAAGATCCTCGAAGATTAACAACTCAGTGTTACCTTTATAAGATCTGGGCAATGAGGAGATGTGATCCATAGCGATGACTGGATTGCATAAGTCGCTTGCCGATTACCCGGCGATTCGCCCTGGATCCGGGGTCGCCCTTTTCCAGTCTCACAGCCAACCCCCCCGACGTATCTTCGCACGCTCCGATACAATCCTCTCCAGTGAAAATGACCCCGGATCCGATCGTAAAAACGGCCGATCTCCTGATGTCCACCTTGGAGGCTGGTATGATAATAGTGTAGAACGTCTTGATGCAACGTTTCAGGAAACACCAGTCGGATCAGTTTATCCCGGTCCGCAGCTGATTCTTTTGTGGTGGGGCAATAGAAAAGGATATCCTGCTGATCCACTTCATAATTCATGGCGATAGATCCGCAAGATCTGGCCTCTTCCTGTGTCAGATCGCGTATTGCACCAGTCAGATATTTCTTCAAACTGTGGATCCACGCCTCCTCGTCCTGTTCCTGTCGGATCTGCTCGATCCTGAGCTCTCTGATCACTTCCTCGCTCAGTACCGGGGGTCGGATCCCGATCTCACGCCAGATCTAGCCTTCGTCCTAGTTGTAACGGTTGAGATCGGCACTGCCGGATCCTCGGGTTTCACCACCAATATCTAGTCCAGTCGGTTTAATGTGACCAGATCCTGGATCTAGCTATCGGTTTCGATCTCGCCTCCACATTGTCGTTGTAATGCAGCACAAGCCGGACTATCTGCACTCCCACTTCATATGTACCAACTCATCAGGCCGGATCCACAGTCTGTTCAACGCCTTCTGTCTTATAAATGCCAATCCAGGCGCCTTGCAGTCGATCTCACCTCTAACTTGGCGGATCACCAAGTTTGAGTCACCACAGATCACCAGTCGTAGCGGATCCGTCCACTCCAGCATATCAAGCCTTAACAAAAGGCCGTGATATTCAGCCTCATTGACAGTTAAACCTTCGACATAGCCGGATCTGGCCTTCACCACAGTCCACTCGGGCAATTTCCACAGAATCGCGCTGTAGGCGCCTCCGCCTCGCTTGACGCGGGCGGATCCGTCGAAGCTAGCACCATACAGATCCTCATCCGATCTCACTGTCGAGATCTGGGCTTGGATCTTGCGTCTCAGTCCCTTCTTTGGGGCGATCGAGATCAGCGCTTTGTCGACTTCGGACTGGGAGTGATACTGGCTGCTAATGTGCCCAGGATCACATTCTCCCCCTTGTTACACTTGACGATCTCGAGGATCCTGGGTGAAAGCAAAGCGACCTACTGTCCCAGGCGACCTTGTAATGCATTTGATCTAAACAGCCAAGCCAGTGTGGAATGTCGCGCCAGCACCCGAATCGGCCTCCCAACCAACATATTATAGTTGAGACCCAGGTCCGCAACAATGCCAATACCTCCTTTACCGTGATCCCATAATTTAATTCGTTGGACTTCAACGTTCGGCTCGCGAACATTTCTGGGTAGTAGATCTGATCATACTCCTGCATTAATGCACCGGAGATCGCCCAATCACTGGCATATACAACCACCACAGCTTGCCGATCAGAATCAAAGTGGCGTAGGATCGGCGTCGTCGCGATCTTCTCCTTTAACACCTTGAAGGATCTGTGAGCATGGATCCACCGGGGGTCCAGATCTGCAAGATTGTCCATCTCGGGATCCGACAATGCATGATCCCCTGATAATGAGTTCGGATCTCGCTGGCTAGGTTCGAGATCCGGACCCCACGAGTCCGGATCCGGGGGTTGCGAACTTATCGGATCCTCAGTCAGTACCTCCAGATCTTGGATTTCCGACGCCAGTACTAGCTGGATCCGGCCTCGATTCACATCCTTCTCCAACACAACATAGTCGATCTCCCTCAACTTATATAGGACAGACGCGTAGATCGCATAATCGTCGATGAAGCGACGATAATAGTTCAGGCTGCCCATAACGGATTGCATAGCACGCAGAGATCCGGGAAACTCGAGATCCGTCAACGCCGACAGATCCTTCGGATTTGCCTCCAGTCCGTCGTGTGATACCTTGTGACCGAGATATTCCACGCTGGGCATGTCCTAGAAACGTTTGACAACGCTGATCGACAAGTTCCATTTGTTGCACGCCTCCTGAAGACCTTCCACTCGGTCACATAGCTGATCCCAATTATCAGCTGGTACTAAGATGTCGTCGATGTAGGACCTGCGTCCTAACACGGATGGTTTGGCGGATCTTCAGGTTCTCCGGCCTCGAATACATACAGACGCTCCAGACCACCGGCCAATTTTGGGATCTGGGTGAATCCATATAAGGCGTTGTCGATCATCTGCTGGTAGATCTGCGGCGCATTCTTCAGCCCAAAAGGCATCCGATTCCACTTGAAAAGTCCAAATGGGGTGATAAAGGCCGAGATCTGCCGGGCCCGATCCATCATCTTCACCACTCAAAAACCACTCGCCATATCCAGTGAGCAATACCATAGTGTAGACTCCAGATCCATCAGTAGATCGTTGATCAGCGGCATCGGGTAAACCACCAGCTGTGTCAGACTATTAACCAACCGATAATCAATACACAACTGTATATCCAACCATTCTTCTTGATGATCACGACGATCGGCGATGCCCATGGCGATCTTGAGTCGTTGATCATCTTCGCCGACAGAAGGCCCTTGATCAGTTCTGCCAGCTTTTCTCGGAACTGGATCCGCAGCTTACGGCACTTAAGCGCGGTCGGTCGGGCTCCTCCCACATCAATATCACACACAACCCCTGGGGCTGCTGGCGGGAGCGCATTTCCCTTGCCGATCAGCAGATGTCGGAACTTCCAGATCCGACGGAGTCGATCGATTTCTTCCGGTATCTGATTATCAGATCCGCACAATTGACGGAGTTAGTCGATTTCTTCCGGCGCCTGATTATCAGATCCGCACAACTCGATGTCCGCGACCCTCACATTTTCCGTCATTACTGGGACTTCGGCTGTACCGCGAGTTGTCCGTCGACATCTTCAGCGTAGAGATCAGTGCCTTCGTGGTAATACACGCATTCGTCGTAATCCTGATCCGAGTCCCATGTGAGGCCCAGATCCGATGTGTCACGTTGATCAGGTTGATCTTCAGGAACAGCCGCCGGATACCCGTCCCTTTTCTGCGACATAGACACGACGTCCTTCTGGTCCAACGGATCACCTGACTTATGGCCCGTCTCAGATTCTACACCCATCAATGATGATGGGTTTGACCCATCACCCTTTCAACGTCCACCCTCGGATCTTGGACTTCTTGGGCTGGCGGATCTTGATCCACACCAGTTGCACCACTTAGAGTTTCATCTGTCAATACAGCTTCCGTGGTTGGCTCTTCGACTAGGGTCGGATCCACCGTTATAATATCTGATATGATCGGATCCCGATCGTCCAGCTTCTCCACGATTGTTACGACATGTGACATAGAGTTGTCACCTGCGATAGATGACAGATCCGACTAATCACTTGCGACAGAAGCCGCATCCAGGGGTCGACAATCCGGTGGCGGACCATCCGACGACGGATTGGCCGAAGGCAAGTCGTCAGGGACATCTTGATCACCACTTGATCCTGGCTTCAGACCCTCGTCGCTGTCGATCTTGGCCTTTGCAGTATTGCGCGCCAAGTTCCGTGCTCGGGGCGCTCCACCGCAGGTACAGGGGGAACTTCCGGTTCCGGATCCCCAGAACAGGGATCCACGGTCGCTTCCAGAACCAGCTTCTGCCACTCCATATAGCGCCGGGCCCCGTTGAGATGAAACCTGGCAGTCGCGGGACGTGATCATCGGTCAGCCAGATACCGAACCGAAGGTCCTGATGGAGGATCTGCCGTTCTCGTCGACGTTCGTGATCCTCATATATCGCGTCTTCCCTGGACCGTTGGCTATCGTGGGAACCCAATGATCTCCACGGGTGACCCAGAATTTCTCGTGATCCGAAGTCCTCAGGCGTAATGGTAGCTCCACTGATTCTCCCGGCTGGATCCTCAGGTATTGCCCAAGATTCACGATCCTGGCCTTGTCGCTGTAAAGCTGTCGCCTTCAGCAAAGCTGGATCCGGACTTCGTCGGGCAAGCTGATGGATCCGTGAGCGAGATCCAAGCGGATCCCGGCCGGAACCATGAAGTCCATGCCAAGGATAGCTTCTTGGCCAGAGAGATCTCCTACCCAGATATCGAAGAAATACACCAACGATCATGCAAGAGATACCTTGATCCGCGTTCTACCTTCCGTTAGATAGACATTGTCCCCGATCCCTACACAATCTTGGATCTGGCTCGAGTCGATGTAGCACCCAACCTTACGAGCAAAGACGGTATCCGCGATGGACACCTCGGCACCAGTATCTAGGAGTAAGATCGCCTTCTCATTGTGGATCTTACCGACGATCTTGGCTTGACGAAACCACTTACCAGGAGCTGGAAATCCCATGCATGGTATTTCCAATATCCACAGGATTCTCCCGGTAGGAGATCCAATGTCGTCGCGGATCCGGATCGTCGATACTCTGCGATCCGACTAGGCTTCCTGATCTCGGCTGTAATCAGGTTCGAACCACAGATCCGGATCCTGCTGCTTCCAATAACCTCTGAATTCTCCTGGATGAAGATCCCCAGTCATAGTCACATCGGAGCTTGCATATTCATCAGCTTGGCGAAGAATCGATATCGCGAAGGTATGATTCCCATGCAGATCGCGTGTATTATCGGGTAGATCTCGCTGCTTGCTAACTTGATTTACCGATGTCTTCTGCGCAAATACATAGATGCAATATCTAGAACACTCGGCTCGTATCGTATTCCACCCCAACGAGCGTCCTAGTTTAACATCTTCTCGGCAGCTTCCGGCAGCATACCCATGTGTTTCGTCGGACTAAACAATTGGCGGATCTGGTTGTAAAACTCCTCCATCGGGCATTTGCTCATGTCATGGAGCCCGCCACACAAAAAGGCAATGATCTGCCGGATGACCGGGCTTGCCGCACTTTGTACAAGTCAGGCGTCTCTAGCATCCGGGATTTAAGTGCTTCTTGGATCCGCAGTGCGAGCATCTGTTACGGTTGAAACCGTCACTCTGGATCTTGGATCGATGCTCCTGTTGGATATGTTCATGGATCCCAGATCCTGATGTCCCGACTCCGGCATGATCATCTCGCTTTCCTCCTTCGGAGCGACTTCTTGATTCGCAGCAAGGTAGATCCGACGGTGACTGCCCATCTCAGAGTCGGATCCATCCGATCCGTCGGAAGTATCGGATCCTGAGTCAACAGCCTGGATCTGGATCGCTCGTACTTGCTTAGCAGGTGCCGACGGTGCAGCATTTGACGCCTTCTGTCGGAACTTGCCGGATCTGAGCGCAGCCTTGTTCTGTCGACTTTTGGCCCGATCCCGCGCGCGAAGTACTTCTCTCAGATCTTCCGCATCTGATAGTCGCAATAATGTTAGCCGATCCGCCAGATCCGGATCCTATAATGTTTCAATGATGTGATCCAATGTTCGCGCCGATCCTTGGTACTACCATCTTTGATCTTGAGTCGCCCACGCAATCCGGCTACGTTCAACCAGTACAGATAGTCCAGCGGCGATTCATCAAATCTGCGATGCGCATGGTAATATTGCCTCGCCAATAATACTCTAAGTCCACAATACTGGATCTGGAAGTTGCGAAGCCGATCGATGTGACGTAGCGCTTGGAACTTTTGGTTCCGAGCCCGAACGCAAG